TGATTTAATGATTCCTCTCTGCATTAATTAACAGTGAAACCAGCCAATATGTTGTGTCATTCATAGATGTATCCACCGGCATCTGCTTTATTTTTGGAGTTGACTGAATGTATCACTCTTCAGACTTATTGTCTTTGAAAAGTTCAGAGCTAGATTAGAGGAGGCCTGGTGGAGATGTGGGGACTGGACATGTCCACATGAGTGCAGGTGTGTGTGGGTTTGGGAACATCTGTGGTCCATTGAAATAGGGGCAGTTACCCAGAGGTTGGTACCAAAGAGATCTAGGATCGAATCTCAACTCAAGTGCCCAATAACCATGTGATTTGGGGCAAGTCCTGCCACTGCTTTCTGCCTCATTTTCTCCCTCTGTGGGTTGGGGATAATAATTGTGACCACTTCCCAGAGAGCTCGTGAGGGTAGAATGACTACAGGTGCCTGCAGGGGATTGGAGATCAAAGATGGCATCATCTCCTGGATTGCAGAAATCAAAGGTTGGTTTCCAAGGCAGCAAGAAAGCACTAGGACATCAGGGAAAAACTCCCCCAGGCCAGCCTGTTCAGGAGGTTTGCACCTCGATTGTGTTATGGAGACAGGGCCAGCTTCATAGCCTGTAACCTGCGCAGCCACACAGAGCCTGCACACCGAGGGGCTTCTCCTTTGGTCTGATGCTCTCCTGTCACTGTCTTAAAATACTTAATAATTGTATCTTTTTGTTGCATGTGAAGTCTGACGGGACAACGAGCAGAGGAGATGTGTCATGGGCATCTCCTCCACCATTTCGTGTCCTGCATCTGCATTTAACATGTGCAATATCTGAACCTAGTTTTCTAGAACAAGGGACCCACATTTTCATTTGGCACCAGGTCCTACAAATGATGCAGCTGGTCCTGTACAAAGAGACTGTCCTTGAGTGATCATCTGTTTTAAAAAAGCAGTGCTAATTTTTTTTAAATGATTCTAAAGAAGGTGGAAAAATTGCTGAGCACCTGCTCTGTATTGAGTATCACACTTGGTATCATCTATCTCATACATTTACGACTTTAAAATTCTCTAAAATAGATACTTTGTCTTCATTTTTCATAGATGAGAGGAACTGAGGTTTGGAAGAATTAAGTAATGTGTTTAGGATCCCATAGCTAAGAAAAGATGACTCCAGACGAAACCTTGTCTGTCCATGAAACATGGACTCAGCTTTCTTCTGCCTTTTTCTTTTGTTTTTTTCCTTCTCTCCAGTCCTATATCCTCTTTCCTTATTCCTTCCCTCTCTCTTCCTCTTCCTTCATACATAGAGGTCTTCAGTGAGCGCGGGTGGATCTAAAGGGAAGTGAAATGAACTAACTGTAATTTTAATGATTGATCAGTTAGTATCTTCAGCAGGCATCTACACTTCCCAGAGTTGGGGTGTAAGCTAAGCTCAGACACCATATGCCAGTCAATAATTATGCAAAAACCATGTTTGATGCGTGGGAAACTGCTGAATTTAATGTCAAATATTCCCGAACCATTCAAGCCTTCAAAGAAAGCATATGGTTGTGTTGAATGAAAGTCCATTTTTTTCTGATTTCAAATGAGGCATGGCTGTCACTTAGCGTCTTTTAAAAGATAAATTGAAATGATTGTCCTGAAAGTGTACACAGAAAAATAACAGGTTTGCTGTTTAATCTTTCTGATCCCTAGGACAATGCCACCTCTCTCTATAAATTTTGTTGAAACCAAAACCCCCCACAAATCCCTTAAAGCAATGACAGCTCTGTTTTCCCCACAGAAAGGTTTGGTCAGAACAATCTTCAGGAGACTGCACTCAGAAGACATGAAAAGAACAGGTCCACGTACAGAATTTGAAGTTATAAAGTCTAGTAGTAACCTGTATTTAGCACCTACTAAGATGACAGGCCCTTTAAAGATTTTACCTCATGGACGGGCCCGGTGGCTCAAACCTGTACTCCCCACACTTTGGGAGGCCGAGGCAGGCAGATCAGTTAAGCTCAGGAGTTCAAGAACCACATGGCCAATATGGCAAAACCCTGTCTGTACTAAAAATACAAAAATTAGCTGGGCATGGTGATGCACATCTGTAATCACAGCTACTCAGGAGGCTGAGGCAGGAAACTCTCTTGAACCCGAGAGGCAGACGTTTCAGTGAGCCAAGATCACGCCACTGCACTCCAGCCTGGGCTACAAAGCAAGACGCTGTCAGAAAAAAAAAAAAAAAAAAAAAAGACTTTGTCCCACTTAGTTCCAAGAACAGCCATAGGTAAATACTGTTAATACCCTCGTTTAATTGATAAGGAGGTAGAAAATCAGAGTCAATAATCTGCCCGTACAGCTAGAAAGGGGAGACACGAAACTTCACAGCCAGATATCTTGAACCCCAGAACCAAGATTCCTAACCAGGACTCACTCTGAATTTACTCTTTGAAGGAAGCAAAGGATGGCCGTCTCAGAGGAAGAGGTAAATGATGGCATTCTCATTCCCCTGGGGGCTGACCTTTTCTAACCAGCTAATTATTTTAATGGCAGGAGCAATTCTTATTCACTAAAATATCTGCTCTGGTCTGTTGTGTTTCTTGATCTGTTTCCTTCCCCCTCCATTGCTTTCTGTGCCAACCCACCCTGCTGCCGCCTCCATTATCTAGAAGAGTTGGGTAAATATGCCCCCTTCAGTGTATCTTTTGGCAAGTTCTGAGTATAGCAAGAACCAAGTTGATCTGGAGCCCAACGGACTTGGATTGGAATTTTAGCAGTCTTCTTACTAATGCTGAGCTCTTGAGCAATTTATATCATGTCTTTGCACCTCAATTTCCTCATCTGCAAACAGGGATAACATAGTTGTAGTGGATACTGTAATATGCTACCCAGCCTCTCCCTTTGGGAGTGAGGGACCTGTTCTCTCACCTCATAGGGGCGCTGCCACCTGCTACTCCTCAACTGTCAGTCTTCTTTGGAAATTGCCATAGCTGCAAAGAGAGCTACCTCATCCAAGTATCCCCCATCTTCCCAGGACAGCTGCATCCCTTACCCTAACCGGGGGAAACCCTGAAGTTTATCTGGCTTTAGAGCTCCCCATGGGGTTGACTGAGGCCCTTGTTCAGACTATAAACCTGGCTTCTCCCTTTTCCCACTCCTGCTTCCTTTCTGTTACTTCACCTGCTACTGACTCTGCACGTCTTTCTCAAACCTCCTGCATGTTCATCTTCATCTCAGAGAGGAGAATCTGACTTTTGACAAAATCCCTTAAACTAAATCCTAATTCACTGTTAGCTGTTATTTTATGATTTATTTGGTGGAAAATATACTCAATTGCCTTCGATGTGCTGGGCACAGTACTAGGCACCAATGGTAAAAGTTAAGACTTAACAAACTTGAAAGTTCTTGAAAGGGTGATATGAAGGAGCAAAAGTATAGTGATGTTGTCTTTAGGGAGATCTACATTACCAGACTCCACATGTAGGATTCATTGAATCTGAGTTCCCTTACCTTGTATCCACCCACTTGGTTTAGGAAGAGGAACGTGCAGACTCTGACAAGGGGTAGGGATGGACTTGCCCAGGGACATAGAGGAATGGGTGTTTGTTGTGCCTAAAAAGAGAGCCAGATCTTCTCATTCACAGGCCTGTTCTCCTTGAGTGTGGTCCCCAGCCTCCATCTGGATATTCCAGGGAAACTCCTCCCATGTCTTAGCAGGGATGGCTGTGCCAAAAATGATGCTTCAACACAGGTCCCAGTATTCTGGCAGCCAATGATGGGTGACTAAGAATAAATTTTGCCAAGTGCAAGGCATCCTCTTTCTTCATCACCACCATCACCATCATCATCAGTGATTGATGATGATGAGTTTATCATCACTTTAAGGCATTATCCCCCATAGTCCTCCCAATAATCTATTGACATTGTGAAGAAAACAGATGTTCAAAGCAACTAGGCAAGGGAAATCACACAGCTATTTGCCATTACTTTTAATGGCAAAAACCACAGTTACTTTTGCACCAACCTGATAAAAAAGAACAGTGCTAGGATTCAACCCCAGGTTGGCTGGCTGCAGAGCACCTCTCTTCACCATTAAGCCATCTGACTGTCTTTGTGTGCCAATTCTTTAAGCATCATACACTCATTCCACACATATTTCCTGAGCATTTTTTTTTTTTTAGCAATGGCATCTCACTCTGTCACCCAAGATGGGATGCAGTGGGGTGATCATAGCTCACTGCAGCCTCAGACTCCTGCACTCAAGCAACACCCCCATCTGAGCCTCCTTCCTGAGTAGCTGGGCACAAGCCACCTCACTCATCTCTTCTCTCCATTTTTTAATTTTTAGCCAAATAGAAGTATGTCCGATCAGAGACCTGCAGAATAAGCCCTAAGAGGTATACACTAAGAGGTATATGGGGCAGGGACCATGTTTTTTGGGTTTTGTTTTGTTTTGTTTTGTTTTGAGACAGAATCTCGCTCTGTTGCCCAGGCTGGAGTGCAATGGCGCAATCTCGGCTCACTGCAATCTCTGCCTCCCGGGTTCACGCCATTCTGCTGCCTCAGCCTCCCGAGTAGCTGGGATTACAGGTGCCTGCCACTATGCCCAGCTAATTTTTTGTATTTTTTAGTAGAGACAGGGTTTCACCGTGTTAGCCAGGATGGTCTCAATCTCCTGACCTTGTGATCCTCCCTCCTCGGCCTCCCAAAATGCTGGATTACAGGCGTGAGCCACCGCGCCCAGCCCAGGACCTTGTTTTATACTCACTCTGTAATGATGAAAATGAGAGCAAACACTTTGCTTGTGTTTAACGTTTCCTAGACACCATTGCAAGTCTTTGGCCTATCAATGTGTGACTCACAAAATTCTTACAACTGCCAACAGGTGAAGAAAGGTCACACAGCTTGCGAGTGTCAGAGCTGGGCTCTAAACCCAGGCACAGCTGGGATCCATGGCCCCTGCTCTTGAGGACTAGGCTTTAGTCCAGGCCTTACAAACTACAGTGCATAGGCAAAATCTCACTGTTGACTGCTTTTTAGATAAAGTTTTATTAGAACACAACCATGGCTGATTATGTATCTATTGTCTACGGCTGCTTTGGGGCTACACTGGAAGAGTTGAGTATCGGCAACAGAGATCTTATGGGCCACAGAGCCCAAAAGATTTATCCGCTGACCCATTACTGAACACACTTGGCGCCCCTGCTCTCTAGCCTCTCTTACAGCTTCACATGCGGGTCTCTCAGACTTCACAGCATAACTTAATAAGGTGGATATTATTATTTCATAAAGAAACAGAGACCAAAGGGAAGTTAAATAGTAGGTCCAAATTTAGCAGCCAAGGAAACGGCAAAGCAAGGACTTATTCACAAGCCAGCTGATTCCAAAATGCATGCCAGTAACCCCTGGGCTTTACCAGTGTGCAAGGAAACACGTGGGCAGCTGAGCAGTTAGCCCACCGAGGGGAGAAGTCTTGTCAGTCTGCAAGGCTGGTGTTATTGAACCAGTGAAATAAACCTCCATGCTCCCCTCATACTTCCCCACTGGGCCTAGCGGCCACTCAATACAAACCGCCCCTTCCCTCCCACAGCAGGTTCCCCCACCTCTGGCAGTTAGTGTCGCCGGGACAGAGAAAGCCATCCATCTTCATGGGAAGTGACCACTCCCAGCAGGGTGCTGCCTCCCCAGCCGCTGAACCAACAGGACCCTGACAGGCATGATGCATTCTCCATGGGTCACCGTCACTGTCCAGGGTTGGGCTCCTGTGTGGGAAGTTCTGGAATCCAGAGGAGTGGAGATGAGGGGAGACACCAAGCAGCTATTTGTAAATGAGCAGCACAAGGGCTGACTCTGTATAGCCACCTGGAGAGGGCAATAGGATGGAGAGAGAGCAGCCTGACAAAGTGGAGTCTTTCTAATGACAATAACACCAAAAACAACCATAATAATCAATAACAACAATAACAATAGCAAACTCAGAGCCCTTATTGTGAGCCAGGCTCAGGTCTCAGGGTTGTGCATATGTCAGCACTTACAGTATGTAACAATCCTATGAAGTAGAATGATTATTCCCCCCATTTTACAGACATGCAGTTCAGTACGTTGTCCAAGGTTACAGAGAGAGTTGCTGACTACCTTCTGCAAATCAGAACGCGAGCCCAGGCAGTCTGTCTCTGAACTGCCACCCTTGCCGCCCCTTCCAAGGCTCCTGTTGAGAATGCAAAGTACAATAGGTAGAATTCTGCATGCCCTCACTTCACATCACAACTGCATTTCTTCTCTGTCATTTCTGGAAGGGTTCTACTGCTTGCAAAAATTTGACCAGAAGATCAAGCACAGGACAAAGGTTACTATGTGTGTTGGTTTAATCATTTATTCTGCAAATATTTACTCAGCACCTACAATGTGCCAAGCACCATGCTGCACTTAGTGGAGCAATACGAGGGGGAAAAACAAGCAAGTTTAAGGCTTAAAAGGCTTAAAATCTATGGTGCAAACAGACATCAATGCTCAAGGTACGGTTGTAAATTTGCAAGAGGGAAAGGAGGCAGTACTCCAAGCACATGCAATAGCAGGAGCCCAGAAAGGTTCTTGCAGAAGAGAGACTGGCATCGAGATCTGAAAACGGTGTAGGAGTCAACTTGGGAAGGGAAAAGCAACCGAGGCGGAAGGAACAGCATGGACAAAGGCGTGGTGTGTGAGGCCTGATGCAAGCATTCAAGGAACTGAAAGGCACTCAGCGCAGCTGGAGAACTGAGGGTGCAGAAGTCCAAAGCACACTTTGAGGAAAGAGGAGTAGGTAGGACCCCCAGGACTTTGTAGGTTCTGGGAAGCATCTGGGCCTTTGTCCTAAAAACAACTGGGAGCCACTGGAGAATTTTTTTAAGCTGGCTGTTCACAGACTCAGAATAGCAGATCCCATTGGCTGGGAAGAGAAAATTTGGTTTGGGTTTCACCATCCTGCACTAGGCAGTCACCATTCAGGGCCACATCCACCAAGGACATTCAGGACAGGAATCTAGAGAAGGGCCAAGGAAATAGGAGACAGGCAGTGAGGAGAGGGTAAGGCCTGGGCTCTGGCAACAGGTGAGAGGGAGAGAGGGAGACATAAGCAAAGAGAACACTGTGCACTCTGTCCCAGTCATTTCACCACAGTGATGCAGCAAAAAGAAAATTTGGGGACTCCCCCACTCCCTACCACCAACCCCCTCACAATAGAGTCATGCAAACTCTTCTTGCCCTTGTCCCAGCCTACTGCCCCTACTCTTTGGGAACTGAACTGGAGTGGGGGGTTGCCTTCAGGGTGGAAGCAAGTCTGGCCATGTTTTCTGGGTGCTAGCTCAAGCCTAGAGGGGAGAAGTGTGGTAAGAAGGTGAAGAGTAGTCCAGACAAACCCAGGGTGGAGGACTAGATGAAGCCTCATTCCCTAAAACAAGCTGGGAGCTTTCAACAACTATCCTCAAACCCCCATTCTGCTTGTCATATGCTCCCGTGTGGGCCGGACAGAAGTTGGGTTTCTGTATAGGAGATGGCCCCAGCCTCCCACTGCAACCCTGATCCTGGGTTGGAGCAGCCTGGGGCTGGGGCTGCTTTTTCATGAGCCCTCACTACCAAGGGTTAAATGCAGCAACTTTCCCCCCAAGCATCCTCCTACCTCCTGTCTCCATCCACTCCTACCACATCCATCTTCCCATGAAGATGGTCCTTTCCTTCCTAAGACCCAGTAGTATTCTTCATTCGTACATTAGGAGTGGGGCACAGAGAGGTTGTATGACTTAACTAAGATCACCTGGTGAACAGAATAGAATGGAAACAAAAGGGAAAGGGCCTTTAAAATAAAAATCAACTGTAGCACTTTCTACTTTCTTGGGGAGTGGTAATGTTTGACGATTTGTCTCTTGGGATAAGTAATATATATTATCAATTAATAATAAGTGTTCTAGTTACTACTGCTATATAATAAACCACTACAAGACTTAGTGGCATAAGAAACCATTTTATTTGTGCTTACTCATTCTGTGGGTCAGGAATTTGGACAGGGCACAATGGGAACAGCTTATGTCTGCCCCACAACGTCTGGGGACTCAGCTGGAAGATTTGATAGCTGGGGGTGATCCAATGGCTAGGGGCTGGAATCAGCTGGAGGTGTCATCACTCACATGCCAGGCAATTGATGCAGGCTGTTGGCTGTGACATCAACTGGGATGTTAGCCAGAACATCTACACGAGGCTCAAGCTTTTCCACGTGTTCTGTTAGTGTGTGCTGGTTGGGCTTCCTCACAGTATGGCGACTGGGCTCCAAGAACGAGCCATCTAAGAGAACAAGGAGGGAGTACATGGCCTTTATGAACTAGCCTCAGCAGTCACATAGCATCACTTTTTCTAGTCTATTAGTAAAGGCAATCACAAAGGTCCCCCCAAGTTCAAGGAGACATAGTTCTCACACTCAATGGGAGGAGCATCAGGGTTACACTATGAGACAAACACATGGGATGGGAGATGTTGTGACCATCTTTGGGAAATGCAAAGTGTCTAACAATCATAGCTAACACTGAAGTATTGTGTTCGATGCACCAATCACTCTTCTAACCACATTATGTGAAACTATCCTATCAGGTGGGTACCATTGTTATCTGCACTTTGCAGATCAGTAAACCAAGGTAAAGAGATGGTTCTTTTGTTTGGGATGTAGTGGAATGTGGAATAGCCCTTTAGTGGAGAAAGAAGAGGTTATCATACGGGGGATGGGTGGTGGAAATGGGGCTGAGAGAAACAAATTGTTCTATAGCAATTGTTCCCAAAGTGTGGCCCCCAGACTGGCACCATCAGCATCACCCAGGACATTGTTAGAAATGCAGATTCTCAGGTCCAACCCCAGACCTGCTGAGTCAAGAACTCCAGGGTTGGGACCAGGTACTCTGTGTTTTCACAAGCCCTCCAGGTGATTCTGATTCTGATGCATGTTCAAGTTTGAAAAACCCCTGCTCTGTATGATACATGAATGGGCTTTTAGCTTCTGCAGGCAGATCAGAGAAGGGAGGTAAGATCTCAAGGATAGATTGAAGTGGTAAGAAGGGAGAAGGGTCTGGTAAGAATGGGATTTGAGGATATAAGTGGAGGCAAGAGAAAATAGAAAGACAGAGTTAGTGAGAAATTTCCTGGAGCATGTGATTGATAAATGTTTAGAAACAAGCATGCTGAATATTGCACTTGAAGTTGTTTCTTGTTTCAGGCTACAATAAGCCTGTAACAGTAAAATACTTTAAGTATAGGACATATATATACACACACACACACACAGTTTATGTACACACACACGCACACACATTCTTCTTCTTATACCCTGGTATAGTTCTATATGCTTCCTGCAAAGCAGTTGCTTAGATCCAAACCCTTTTATATTGTAAGTCACAGGCATCCAAATCAAACTACACTAATTTAAAAAGATGTTTTATTGTTGCATGTGACAGCTAAGTGTAGGGATGGCACTACCCACAGACTTTGGAGACTTAAAGGACAGCTCTCCCTCCCTGCCCAAATCTTGGTTCTGCTGCCGTCTTGTATGTTGACTCATTCTTTTTTTTTTTCTCCTGAAAAATGGTTGTTCTCCATGTGGCTGGAGGTAAAGAGAGAATGTCTGCAGACAGACAGCTCCCTACTAACATCCTTTCCATTTCCTTCCTCTCATATACGTTTACAGGAAGGGACTCCAATTGGCTCTGTCTGGGTCATGTGTTCACCTTTGAACCAGTCACAGCAGCCAGAACAAGGGGCTGTGATTGGCCAGCATGGGTCACATGTCCACCCTTGAGACCATGGCTGCAGCTAGGTATTATCAACAGATCCAGCTAACCACATGGTATGGAGAAGGAGAAATTTCCTCAAAGAAAGTGGGATGTCTAGGCTCAAAAGCAGGGCGAAGATGTTGAACAACAAAAAAGAATGCACATCCATGTCAGCAGCGATCACATATCTGTTTGAGTGATCATTTACTTATTTAACCTTTGTTTCTCCAACTTAAGATCCCGTGGGGAAAGGGACTATTATTGTGGGCCATAGTGCTGTACCCCTAATGCTTAACTCAGTGCCTGGCACTAGTAGGTGCTCAATAAAACCCTCAGATATTGAAATAGGTTCTGGACTTTTTTGCCATGTGTCTTATAAAAGTTTGAGACTTTAACAAAAGGAATTTGAAGGAAAAGAGCTGGAGAAATTAGGAGCATCCTGCCTTGAGACATTTAAGGGAGAGAGAGGAGGGAGTTGGTTCTTGATGTTCTCCCTCTCATGGTCTCATTGATACCGACGGAGCAGGGACTATTAGTCCCATTTTACAGATGAGGAAATGGGCTCAGAGAAGCCCCTCAGCTGGTAAGTGGAAGAGTCATCATTGAAGCCTAGATTTTACTCCAAAAAATTTAGAGCAAATTATGAACCTCCTAGAACAGAGTTGAAGCTCCCTGCCTCCCACAACTGTCATGTAGACTCCTGAACCTGGCCTTCCCACCCCTGCCAGTTCCTCTCACTGAGCAAGCCACTAGCTTCATCATATAAGTTGGATTCCATAGTGCTTCAGAGTGCAGGAGGAAGCAGTGGTTGGGGAAATGCCATTAGAAATAAAAAGCACATTATTCTCCCATGTTCTTCCCCACTCCAAACCTATTTCCCAGTGGGCCTGCTGATGCTGAACCAAAGAGCTACACTGCAAGTTAATGAATCATAACAGCAGAGAAAGGAGGAAGTGACTCCAGTCAGCACTCTCCATCCAGAAGGCGTTCCGCCTTGAATAATGGTCTGGTGTAAGAAGGGGAAGGAATCAGTATTCCCATTTGACAGACATGAACACTGAGAAAAACAGAGTGAATTTTGGCAAGTGTAACTCGGTGGCTTTGAATCATCAAGGTCCAATCCTTTAGCTGGGCTCCATGGAAAGGGTGAAAAATTCACCCAGAGACCTCTTGGAGACAGTAAGACAATATTTGATATTAGCATTCTAGCTCATTCGTGTACTTTCCCCCTGAGTCCATTCCATATCCCTTTGAGGTAAGTTTTATTATCGAGCCCATTTTACAGATAACAAAACTGAAGCTCAGAGAAAATAAGTAACAAGCTAAGGTCTTGCACCCAGTGACTGGTTTCTAATCCTATAGGTGCAATGCCATTGCTAATTCCACCAAGAAAATCCTCACCTGTTTGTGTAGGGCTCATGCCAATCCTAGCTTAACATGGTAGAAAAAGCATTGAGGGCCTTTCTGAGGACCTACTATGTAGCAGCCACTATGCTAGGCCCT